CACATGTATGTGAGAAGCTGCCCAGGGAGGCCAGAGGAGGGTGTTGGATCCCAGGAGCTGGAGTTATAGGCAGTGGTGAGCCGCTTGCAGGGAGTGCTGGTAGTTGAACTTGGGTGCTCTTACCTGCTAAGCCAGCCCACCTCTCATTTCTTACCAGCTAAGTCTTTCCCTGGGAACACACTGACTCTCTGGTTTCATGAGGAACTGCTTGTGCCCTCTCACTGTGTTTTCTTAGTTGTTACTTGAACTCCTTTCTGTGCATTTCCACTACATTTCTGGAGAACTGCTCTTTGTGCCCCACATGCTGTTCTGTGTCTTTCCATACATGCATACACTGTGTCCTGATAATACCCCCTCACCCTGCCCTTCCAGCCTGTACTGACCACTGACGTACTCTCAGATCGACTCTTTAATTCCATATCAGAGATCGTGAGGGACTTGTTTTGTGTATCTACTTCACATAGTATAAGGTTGTCTAGTGCCATTGGTTACTGTAAATAGATAATTTCATTTTTCTTTGTGTGATATGTGTATGCATGTTCATGTGTGAGTTTGTATATATCTGTGCACACTCACAATCAGACTGTGAAATGGAACCACTCACATTTAATCGGGGTCTTTCCTCCTCAGGTAGACCTCTGGAAGTCTGTTTCTGAGGTGACTCTAAATGGAGTCAGATTGACAATAAGGTCATCATGAGCTGGGAAGACAGCTCAGCCGTTAAGGAGCCTGCTGACCTGAGAATATTCTTCGGCTGTTGGGTAGATGTCTGTAATGTCAGACACCATCTATGGAGTGTTGGAACTCTTGAATTTTGGTCTGGCTGATCTGTCCCTGATGAGGGTGAGTGTTGAGGTTGTGATTGCTCTGGGTCTTCTCTGCTGCTCTGGTAGTGTTTTGTTTTATGGAATTAATATGAGGTACATGTAAACTTATAGTCATTAGGTCTTCTGGGTAAATTGACTTTTTGGTCACTGTGTGACAGCCTTCCATGTCTCATAATCTTTACCTTGAAGTCTCTTTTATCCATTGCAATTATGGCCACTCTTTAGGTTTTCCACGATTCAGGTTTCCGTTTGCTTAGAAAGTCATTTTCTATTCTTTTGCTTTAAGCCTGTATGACTTTATGTGTGAAGTCAATATATATATTTGGCAATTTTTTTTTTAGGTTTATTATTGGGAATGCCTGGGAGTAACAGTTATGTTCCCCCCCCCCTTTTTTTTTTTCTTTTTTGGTTTTTGTCTGTTTGTTTGTTTTTGAGACAGGGTTTCTCTGTGTATTCCTGGCTATCCTGGAACTTACTTTGTAGACCAGGCTGGCCTCGAACTCACAGAGATTCACCTGCCTCTGTTTCCCGAGTGCTGGGATTAAAGGTGTGCACCACCACTGCCTGGCATCTATGTTTAATCTAGTGGCTTGTTCTGTTCTCTGGTCTTCAGGCAAATTTTATTTGATACACAATATATCACCACATTCCCCCTTTTTTGTCTAAAATAATAAAAAAAGAAGGTTATAACTAATACAAGAAAAACTATGTACAATAAGTATATACAGTATATACAGTCAAGAATTACATTAACAATGTCCAGTCCATAAACATTTGACAAATTCAGAGAAAATACTCCATTATTTATCCTATTTTAGTGAATCCAAAGTGTTGTACCTAATTCACTTTCTATCCTAACTTGTTACCAACTGAAAACTATCTTTTGATGTCTTTCAAACTTACGCACTTTACACCTCTTTAGTGAGTTTCTTTTCTGAATTTGTTAACAAGGAGAACTATAACTATCTAGTCTTCAATGCCATCAGAGACCCAAGAAGGAAATGATACTGAGTAAGCAGGAAGTGCAACAAGCGACTTCCAAAAAATGTTAGAAATGACAGAAACAGCTAGTTGCCTGGACAGTCACCCAAGGTTCCTCTGCAATGTTGGGGCATCCATCTTTGGTCTACAGGCCTAGCATATCTGACAGACTCATCTGTGAAGCAGGATTTTCTAAAAGGCCTTCCTACCTTGTCTTGGCAAAGGTTCAGC